ACAAAGCATACCCAACATATATTTCTTTCTAATAAATTACGCGAAGATTGTACAAGGAAAACTAATAAAGTCGGACCTTTTTGTATTCTGTGTCATCCTCTTTGATCGGCTCTGCAGATATACCCGTACGGCGTCCACCGGTTCTCTTCGGTGGTTCAATCATTATGTCGTCATCATCTTGAGCTTCCTGATTCCGGCCAGCTTCCTAAAATAAAAAGGTTTGAAGGACAATAGCGACCAAGGCGATCAATGCCTGCCAATGCCATTTTGGAACTAGTTTCATGGTAATCGAGTCAAATAACACAAGTTCTTTCGAGCAGTGAAATTCTTTGCGTATCAATGCCTTATATCTAATATGAATTCAAGTCCAACCACATTTACCAGTCTGACAGCAGCAATAACCTTGCTCACATTACATGCCTAGAACACCGTGAATAAGAAGGAAATCAAAAATAATACAGATAGCGAAGAATTACTGTAGCACACGTAGGCAAAAACGAATATGAGCAATACTCATTCTATGCAAATGCTTACATATCACAATGCTGCGATGAATAATGCATTGCCATCTCGAGTATATGAAAAGGAGGCGCTGTAGCAGACAAAGAAGCAGATCGTTCGAGCTTAACCATGAGGTTCATAGGCCCCGAGGGCTATCCAGTAACCGCATCCAATTTTTTAACTAGTTATGTGAGTGAGGACCACATTGATTTTGACAATTTGTCTCGGTTTCGAAGCGATAATTTAGAGTGCAGTAACCAGATAGAAATGAATTCCACACTCAGCTGATAAGTTCAAGGACTGAGAAATACACACAAAATATTCCCGCAACAAGTAGAGAACAACTAAAGGATGCGTAAAATGGTGAAATCCTATCCAAAAAAGCCAATGGAAAGGGAAGGGTCCCACAGCAGTGAAGTAATTTTAAATGAAAAACACATCTAAGCGAACTGCCACATGAAGTGTTAGAGATTGAGACTCATGAGTATGAAGAAATGTTCGACCAATGCAAAAAAGCGATATAGCATAGGAAGATACGCCAATCCACACATGGAGGAGGTTCAAGGTCATGGAATTACCATTAAAGACCGACACTCTCTAGAATTCAATAACTGAGACCATCCATAGCATGCACACAAAAGAAACGAGACCTAAATCAAGCGCGCACCTTCTTGACGTTTCCCTGCTCATAACCAACAAAAAGAACACGAGTTCCTTCCAAGCCAAGATGAAACAGAAGATCAAATAAGCACTCGAGCGTTTTCATGTCATAGAGCAAATGTTCAATGCATGACGTAAGCCAAGGAAGTGGTACAACACCCTACATCGGCTACAAGACTACATAACCCAACCGTTCAAAAGAGCGCTCAAAAAACTAGTTAATTTACTGACAAATGATGCTACGACTCTAATCCATGATAATTAAGAGATCACTTGGACCAAAGACTCTTCAAAAAGACCAAGAAAGTTGCCTGTTTCGGCAATAAAAAACCTTTATTGTATAAGAAACTGCGCCGCGTGGACGAGTTGTCCGAATAGATGCGCATTTGGGATAGAATTTCACAAACTATATCTCACACTTCTGAAAAGCACTGCATTTTTTTGATAAATATATAAGCAACCAATCATATGTGAATATCAGCACTGGTCAAAAAAGGCGAAATGGCTTCGAAGTACTCATTTCAGTAGCGCCCCTAGTGAGTTGGCACAAAACATTTATTGCATAATACCTACTACTACTACAACTACTTCTACGGAAGTGAGACCTCTAGTTAGCACTAAAAAACTAATCCCATAAATCTGCGCTGAAAGCGAGGCACAGAAAATGGGCATTCCATAGCTAGCTTTTGTCGGCTTGATTACGACTTATTGCTTTAGCGATCGTAGTTGAAGAGAGATTCCGAGCACCCTCTCTCTCACATCCAAAGTCACAACTCCAAGCCCAGTAATGTAATCTCCTACTCACGCACCAATTGTCGTAAAACTCTTCTTACTCACAGAAGACGACGTAGGATACCCCTTCATAACACTAAGGACGCAGAATGCTCTTTGCTTCCTAAGTTATGAGCCAATTAAGAAGCGACAGAATGCAGCTAGTGGAACATTATTCAACGTAACCACATTTGTCGGAAACTGGCGGCACATACACATACAACAAAGGGTGTTTTCGGGGAACAACTACTCCACACAGCAGTCTGCGTCGGAATATGGAAGAAGGTGATTAGTCTCGGCGACTCTGTGAGTAAATCCACTCCCTTCCTCAACAAAGCTACAGCATTTCATATCCTTTAAGCAGAAATTTGAGAAGAACGAGTTTAGGCGGACTTGCGGCAGCAATCTGAAGCGGTAAGATGGTCTCTAGTGTAGGCCGGGAATGTGGCTCGATTGTGTAGGGGAATAAAGGTAGTTTAGGTTTAGGGTCCAACTTCAGATATTCAGACGCGAACATCCCAAAATTATACAATTGATCAGAATGATACATTTTAAAATAAAACAGAGACCACTATGGGAATTCCCGATTTGTAACGATTTGTATGTCAGTGATCCAGCTTAATCTGCTGCATTCCACTCGGTTTACGGCATCATGTGACAACTGCACTTTTGAATTTGAAACACTTCCGCCCGGAGCAACTGGCACGGACATCGCTCAGTAAAGCTGCAGTAAAACTCATTGCTTTTCCTTATCTAAAGGTCAACATGCTTACGTAGGACGAATAGCAAAAACTTCAGATAATCCCACACCTGTTGTTTCCAACACCGACGTTACAAAAATGACTGGAAATATAAATTTGAATCGTAAAACATTTTGGGTGACACGGTTTCCAAGAACGATAATATTCGTCAGACAGAGGAAAAAAATAAAACTTTACGGGCTTATTCATGCTACATAACATCCCACGGCAATATGACGAAGCGGACCAGACAACTGTGCCAACACACCAATGTGATGTGAGAATTTAGCACCGAAAGATACCTTCTATTTACTCGTTTACGCTAACATTTCAATCGCTCAATTCTTCTGCACATACTTTGTTGAAAGAGCTGTGATTTTACAGGCGTTTCCCATAAAACCCTTCCAATCTATCCTTACACACGGCTGTCAGTGCCAGCCGAAGGACATTTGTGGAATCAGTAATTATATTCTACCCTCTAGCTTTCTTTGAAAAAGTTCAGTCATGAAGTACCAGTCTTTCCAGTTTTTAGTGTCGTCTGAGCCTTGTTCACCACCATGTGTCTGAGTTAAGTTTATTAGCAGCAGTCCAATACAGCTGTTAAATCGCCTTCTCCATTAGATATCCGCAAAGACTGACGGCACGGGGAAGGAGGCGATGGCGGTGGTGTTGTCAAATTATTCCTTTTTCTTTCAATGATTGTCAGGCCTAAAAGCTGTCGGCAATCATGCTGTGTGATTCGTAAGCAGTTGTTTATGCTGCAGCATCGAGGGGGGAATTGAGAGGCTGCTTGGATATAATGAAGCTGCATTTACACGAACAACCACTCCTCACGTACCGACCGACCGCAGCCCGACGCGACTAATGTGCCAGCAAGTATTCGGGCCGAAACGCTAGAGGGAACACAAGCAAAGAAAAGGCGTTGTACGAGAGAGTGTGCCAATGAACGCAGACGAGTAACAGCTGCAGCACCAGTAGCAGTAGCAGATGCAGAGCACGACGAGAGGAGTTGAGTAAGAAAATTACATGACACAGTATACCCCTTTCTGCCAGTCGAAATGTCATGTGCATTGGTTGAAGCTTTTTTCACAAGCTCAATCAATTTTCAAGACAAGGGCAAACTTGAAACATCTGTGAAACAAGTAAGAAAGGCTAAACTTGACGAAGCTGAAATTTTTCGTGCACACATTGCTATACTTCCAATACTCTCCATATCGTGTCATTTCATATCATCACCTTTCCATATCCACCGAGAATGGGAACAATTTCGGCCCAATCTGCGTTCGGCTCGTCCTTTCTCCCCTCCGTATCGCGCCAGTTTTATCAGCATCCAACGAGGCACTACGCAACAGTTATAACACAACCGATACTGCATCCCAATCAAGACGTTTTAGGCTTGAAACCTGGAAAAATTTCGGAAAGAAAAGCATTATGGGCTTGTCTAGAAGACACAGCTCACTCCCTAAAAGATGCGCCACGCAGTCGCCTTACATTCAAAATCAGAAAGGCTTTTAAATGCGTCCGCATTATGCGTCCTAGAGCGCATAATCAAATAAAATGGGACGAAGGACGGGAAGCAGTTCTGCGTCATTGCACGTGCGATGATGTAATGCCCAAGTCAAATTAGAAGTCAGTAATGGTAAATAATTGCGGCGGCGTCTTAGCCTCCTCATTCATTCACTCACCGGCGAGGTTGGAGCAGGCGGCGGCAGCGTGGTGGGAGTCGTGGACGAAGTGTGCTGAGTATTCTGTTGTTGTGGACGACGTCGGCGCGCACTCAGATGCTGTCCCATCGCATCACACAAGAAGGGGGGCAGTTCGGGCACACGTCGTCAACAAATGAATTCGGCGGGTCCGCCGCCGATCGGCCGGCTGGCTAGGATGGCCCCCGCGTGTAGCCTAGCCTGGTCGTCTATCGATTGCGGTGCCGGGCGCGACTAACTGCAATTCCGTCTGTTTTCGCACCGCCGCTCTCCCGTCATACACTCACTATTTCGTTTTTATCTCAGACACTCACACACACGCACCAAGGCAAGACACCACCCGAGAACACTCCCCTCCGAGACATTCATGGGTATGGCATTTCGTCCACCAACATCTTGTTCTTCGTCAGTCGCTTCGCAATGTGATTCCCTCCGTGGGCGCAACACGCTTACTTTGTGGGCACGTCATGGAGAGAGTGGTATAGTAACCGAATGTCAAGCCGGAACCATACGGCAAATAAGGCGAAGCCATTCGACGCTACAAAAACGAGAGCAGCACAACTTGAATAAAGAGGAGAAAAAGATTGTTAGCGCAGCTTTGCAGAGCAAAGAGATTAAAAAACCGTCAGCGCAACCTAGAATATTACCAGTACATAGAATAGAAAATTCCACACTAGTGGAAACGTATGTAAACACACCCAGTCATACCGCTAAAATAACGCGCATGCACGAAATTCTGCAGAAAACCTGAGACACCATAAAAGCCGAAGGAAAGACGACGATTAGTTAAGTGAATGATGACATGAATGATATGGCCTGTTATCGAAGAACGACGACAAGTCTCTCCGTTGATTGAGAATCGAATAGAAAGCGAAGGTGAAGAAATATGTGAAGTGAAACAAGACAAAAGAAACGCACCCTAACGAGAAATGAATGCAAAAATATCGAGAAAAAATGTACACCTCTGTCCTTTGTTCGTTGAGTTTATCGAAGTGCTCCTTTAGAAACAAAACGGGATTTTCGGGCTTGTGAATGCACAGAGCAACTGAAATTGAAAATACATTGTAAACTAAAAAAAAGATGATGGCAAATACAACTTCAAAGCAATCGATGAGAAAAATGGTTTTAAACGACTGGTCTATAAAAATATGAACTGCAGGTGGATATGAGATCTTACCAATAGCCTCTTTCACAAGTTGCTGAATATTGTGTCGTTGTACATAAGCTTGGCATTGTGCCAATTGTGCTTCCTCGTTGCCGCTCGACATGTCCGAGCAAGCTAAAGATGCGATTAAGGGGAATTAGCAAACGTTAGGCAAAAAAACGGAGCAAACTATCGACCACTTCGGACGTTGGCATGAGTAACAATGAAAGTTTAGTGGAGTTTATGTTGCTGAAGCATGCAAGATTTGTGAAACAGAATGATTCACACGAACATCGCCGCCATCATTACGACTTTACATGTGACGTTCCAAACTGCACAGTTACAAATGATGAGAGCGAAGCAAAACTAGAAAAATCTACTGGACTGGATCGATGTTGCGCAGGCTGCAGGATTTTCACTGGTTGATTCTACAAGAGTAAACGCACAACATTAACGAATAGCTGACGTGGGAGGGAGTGCTGAAATAGTGGAGGGCAGCATGCTGACGGATTGACAAGGGCTAGCAGAGTTTCGATAGGCCGGAGGGCAGATTTCATCGCAACGGCTGCGGGAGAGTGGCGGCGTGGAGCGTGCGCGGCAGTCGCGATCACGACCAGTATTGGCCGCGCGGCGACGTCGGCGGCAAGACGCGGTGAGTAGCAGAGTACAGACAGCAGCCAGTAGCAGGCACCAGCGAGAATGCGAGAGATGGAGGCGCAGAAGACTACGATCTATCGTGAGGCCCAACACGAGCAATAGCACAGCACTCCCTCTCCCTCACTCCAAACCACCATCTTATTGGATTCGCCTCGTTGGGAGGCAGAAAATATGTGCAGACGACTGCACCACACCGCCAACCACCCCCACCCTACCCCAACTGGGCCAGCGTGCGCAACACAAGACAACTTCTTCAATCAACGCACAATGCGTCACACCCTTAGTAGGGATGACGTCAGCTCTCGCACCTCACCGTCATCGGGGACTGCCCCACCACACGAAAACATCGCAGAGTGGCGTGTTGCGCGAACGATCTTGCTCAGCGGTGCAGCGCGAAACTGACTGCAACTGCTGCTGCTCCAGTTGCTGATGAAAAGAACTGAACGTGTGAGGCGTTCGCTGGGATTTCAACAGCGTTTTAGACGTTAAGGAACTGCTGGGCGTTGCTGTTACAACAGTCGCACGTACAGCGCGAAGAACATGACCGCCACATGCTTACCAGCAGACAAACAGCCAGACATTCGAAACCACTTCTCGATGGGCTGCATTGAAATTGATTGATAAAGAGCGAAAAAAAAACAGAAATCGAAGCTAGGAAATTACTTAGTGAACTACCTAGTAAGCCCTTGTTACTGGTAGCATGCACTGCAAATTAATAAGGACCCATTAAAAATGGAATAAAGAAGCGATCCATTACAAAGAGCGGGTCCTATCCAGTAAAGGGGATGTGGTGTGACAGTTCTCGCCGGCTACAGAAGTTCCAATTTTTGCAAAGGGGGAACCCCCGTGGTGTGTGAACCATTTCGCTTAAACTTTTACACCCAGCCCGGAGCTTCCCTCGCCTGAAAAAAGCGGATTATTTCATGCAATATGAACTGTCGCACCTCATGCCCACCCCTTCCCCCTACTGGATGAGACCTGAGCAGATAGCAATTCACAACAAGTCAAAAAATAGAAAATAAGGAGCTCATTTCCTTAGGAAAACATTGTAGTGAGTGAGGCACTGATACCACTCGGGATTAAGCCTTATGAAGTGAAAGGAATTCTGGGAGAGGATGTGAGCAATCTAGTTCTACATGGCGTCGTTTCCAATCCTGGGCTTAATCCTAGTTACACTTACCAAAGAAGTTTGAATGCCTGTAAGTCCCCCTAAAGACATGAGCGCTGAAAATGGGACGAAATACTGTTTTACCAGTGAACAGAACAATGAGCAATGGTGGACCTGTGGTCCCCCGGCGCAAATTTCGAGTTGCGAAAAGCGAAAAAAATCGCTCCTCCTGGCGTCGACACCAACTAGCTCATGGTAATGGGGAGGGAGTTGGTTCGTTGCAACCAAAAAAGCACGAATCGTAAAAGTGAAGAGTTATGAGTGCTAAGGTAGAAATCACGGCACAATGTGGCTCCGGGAGGGGGGGGGGCGAGCCTGTAACACTACGTCAGATTCACGAAAACTTTCAGCTTCAGGACGAAGCATCAGAGAAAAAGAAGAAATCCAGACTGCTTGAGCAAATTTTCGCTCCGAAAATCGTCCCTCTTCGTCAGGCTTAAATCTAGTGCCTTCACACCCTCTGCCCCCCCCTCCAGGACGCACACTGCGGAAAACACCCACAGAGAAAGCAACCAAAATGACCGATCAAGTAGGAAGAAATTTTGACAGAAGCGAAAACGAGGGCGGTGAGCGGCGTAAAAATATATGGAAATGAGGTGCGGAGTGCGGGACGGTCACACACATACAACAACACACGAAAGCACGCGAACACAACGCCCAATACCATGGTAAACCGTTAGACTGATGAGAATGTTCAGATGCACACACAAGCACAACACACACATAACACACTACAACACCACAAACACAATCGCGGTAAAATGACAGAAAAGGAACGAAAAACCGATTAGCGCGCACGAGAGTACAGCAATTGGCAGTGGCGACGAGGAGCGCCAGCCCAGCTGCAGAAGGCTGGCGGGCTAGCTGGCTGGCTGGCATGGCATGGCAGAGTGGCGCGGAAGCATTAGCTTCGACAAAGGTGTTAACCACTGAAAGATTTGAGCCACAAAGAACGACCACCAACGAAGAAAACAATGGTTTAAACCTTGAAGTGAACAATTTTCATCTTAAATCTGTGTGCGTATGTGTATATGGCGCCCCGCATTGACGTCGAACACTCTCAGTCGCCGCTCGAGCAGCGCCGCTCCACCGCCCACCTGCGAATCTAAGTCAATGGCGCGCTTTTTAAACGCACATTACTGTTACTTGGCAACAGGTGACTTGAGAAACACAACTTTACGGAGTCTCGCTTGTTTTCCGCAATGTGCGGATACTCTTCTTGGCATGAGTAGTGCAAAGCTAACGGTTAGTATGATCATTTCGCTTCAGTTTCACTTGTTTATTGATCGGTTATCACGTGATCTACCTAGCTTTTTCTCAAAATCGCTTCAAAAATTAATCATTTTCAATTAGAAAAAAATGTTTGAAGTATCGATGACATAATCTCGATGAATGAAGTTGATTTCTGCCATATGAACTATTTTCAGAGCAATTTATTTTAGTATTCATGTGGATATGTTTTTTTTAAATATATTTGCATGCATACTTGTTCTACTCCTATTTTAATACGATTGCATATGAAAGTATCCGGGTGTCTTTGTAGTTACTACCTACTTCATAATATAGTAGGTAGACATTGATAATAATAGGTGTGCCTCTGACGGCCATATCTTCAATTCTCATTAGTGAGCTACAATCCGACCGGACTTGGCAACGCTTCCCGTCGTATTGACACTGAAATCAGTCTGGTAAACAAGCTGCAGAAAGAATGTGAAGTGTTATAGTTTATATTACTTATTTATACTCTGCGCCGAAAGACGCGCTACAATCAGGCGATATCAAGAACTAGCATGGGTGGCTACATCAATCTGAGTAGACAAAAAAACAAAAATAAAGATAGCAGATTAGCTGTAATTGCTTGTTGGCGCTGTTAAGATACGCGGACATCCTCTAGGACTAGCTAAAAGGGGCGGGACTTCGAGAAAAATGCCTTCGGGGAAAACTTCAGGAGAATGAAATATGTTCACGCACCCTGGAGTCTCTCCTCCCCCGTCTAGCGCCTGATCCCGTTTTTTTTAAATGAGTCATGCATAGTTTCAAGTGAATGGCCACCACCCTGTACCCGCATATTGCGATAGCGCGTTGTTTTCCCTAGTGGCCGAGAATGACTAACCTATGGTAGGGAGGCCTCGGTCCATACAAGGGTAAGCTAGCATTGAGGATTTTCCCATAGGGGGTTGAATTTGGATCTTAGTGAAAGGTCCACCTTGGTGGAACGAACTGACAGCATATTTCTAAATGGGAGCAGGACTTCGTTCATTTACCGCGCGATATATCCTTAGTTAGTATGTCCGAATTTTTTTAGAAGTCTTACTATTTTTTGAGAAATTTTCGTAAAACTGGGAAATAACATTTTGTGAAAATTTCTGAACTTCTGTTTTGTTTGCCATAAATAACGCCCCCCCCCCCCTCCTTTACTTCTTCAACGCTCGATAGGGTGGACGAAACGTGGTGGCCCTAACTGAAGGAAGAGAGATCATTCTGCCGAATTTCATCGTTCTGCGGCTACCTTGGTCTATAGTCCTCCACAATTACAAAGTAACTACAGTAATTGTGTAAAATGATGGATTTCAGCTGTTTAGCGGCCGGCAGATGTCTTATAAACAGCCACATGGTGCGTTTTACTGCTCATTTCGAAACCATAATCCACGCTATTCGGCGCCCACGTGGATGGGTACGGGTAGAAAAAATTAGGTTTTCACGGGTGCTTGAGGCCGAGATGATTGGGCGGCGTAGAGCATGTTCCAGTAGAATACCGGCGAAAGAAGGCTAGAATGTGTCCCGGAGTTCGCGAAGGTTACGGTTGGATACAGGGGGAGGGGGGCTGGAGCTTGCGAGAACGAAAGTGTTGAGATTTGTTAGATTTTTGAAGTCACAGGAAGGGAAATCGGTTTGGTAGGACTTGTTGTTCTGACCCGTGTGTTCGAGTGTTGAGGCATTTCTTGGTAGGGGCGTCGTATTTGAGTAGCAAGGAGTCTTAGTGGGGATTGAGAAACTCGAGAATATTTAGAATTTTCAAGAATCCTATGAATTTTCAAGAATCCTTTTGGGGACTTCCTAGTGATTCTAGAGTTTTTGCTGATGACTCCCTTCTAAGCATTTTCTGAAAGAAGTTAAGCTGCCCAGGGTTGAGTGAACTATGTATAAGTTGGAGTGGAACAAAGCTCAAAAGTGGAACCCCAGCCTCAGGGGTTCCACTTTCAAGAGGGGGGGGGGGGAGTTCTGGCTGCTTTGTCGACAAAAGGGGCTTACACTGAAGCTCTCGAGCACCATATCTGGTACACTATCGGAGAGCGCTT